GTATCTCCTATATGATAGAAATTACATATATCAAGCTTATAAAGACCTTGCCAGTCTAACTGATTTTAACAAGCTAAGGTCAGCTCTCTAACGGGATTAGATACAAACTTTAAAGCGATTCTCAAAATATTTCGCAAACGTTTAGTTGCAATATATTATCATTGATGAAACGAAGATCCTCTCTCCACTTTGAACAATAGATAAAACGACAGGTTCAAGCATACATCTTCCGTAAGTGAATCAAATTTATCAACTTATCATTTTTTAGAGGTTGTTTGACCTTGTTTTCGCAATATGGTCATTGTGGTAGGAAGACTTATTTGGACGCATCTAGTCCGGGGTCCATTGCCTGCATGATCATTTCAAAAGTTGAACCGTGGACGTGGACCCCGGACTAAGTGCGTTCCAATAAGTCTTCCTACTAATATGACCATGTTGCGAAAACCAGGTCAAACAACCACACAAAAGGACACACCATCTAGGTATTTATACCTTCGAGTAGACGTGTTTGATCTTAAACGTGATCCTTTTTTAAGTTCAATTCACAAGTTTAAATTCACAAAGATTGATAATATTGTGGTTCATTAAAAAAAAGGAATAAAAAGGGGCTTAAGTCTGTTTTACAATCGGCGTATTTCTCAGATTTAGCTCAGTGACTCTAAGACTTCAAAAACAAATAAATACATAAGAACGACCAGACGTTCAAAATATAAGGACTTAATTAGTGATATGTCTTTCTGGCCTGAGAAGCAAAGGCCAAGCCACTTGGAATTTGTATAGTACAGTATCGTCAAAGAAAATAAATTATAATTCAGTCAAATTCCGTGTTATCATAAGAAAAGAATGTTCAACCAGCCTAAATCAGAGGGAGTCAATGATAACTCTATTCGTAAATATAGTCAATTAGCTTCTCTCTAGTGGCCAGTTGTAGGTGCAAATATGAGCAATGCCAGGGGTCGAACCAAGAATGCAGCTCCTGGCTTCCTACTGATGAGTGGCATCCTTGCCATATGTTATCCTAGCAATCAAGAATTGACGAATCCGATCAAGATGGCGAAAATAATTGAGAAGACTATTAATTTCAGAATGGAATTGTAAGCGGTTGTCTTTTTTTGGACTTCCTAACTAGTGAGGAAGAATTCCGAAATGAAACGGATGCAAATAGCAAGCCCACACATGCTGGTTCCCTTATGACATTTTATAACCACAGATAAGGGGCCAAATTGTCATAAAGTTCACGCTAATAGAATATATAATGGAGGTCTGCACTTAAAAAGAATAAGCCTTTGGACCAGGGCCAATTTCCAATACTGCATACGAAAAATGGGAAGAAAAAAAATTACTAAGGACGAGAGGGAGAGATCTGAAAAAAGGCAAGGCAGGGTACTGCACCAACAACTGTCGGTCTGGTAAAAAATTACGTTGCCAACGGAGAGAGATATCGAAGAAACCATCGGATCTAGTCAGCAGTCGGTACACTGAACGTGATTGGACAGGTTCACTCAGACAAGGGAAGAGTTTGGTCGGTTTGATCGAATTCTATGACTCTTGAAACCAAGAAAAAGAATACATAAAATGGGTCATCGAAATTGATAATATGGGTTTAACAATCGGAGATAACTCATAACAGCTAAAAACAGGGTCAATTAAGAAGAGAATCGAACTACGCGTATCTAAACAGATGGGACCAAATACCAAAGATGAGAGTTATAAATAGCCATGTAATTGTTTCACGATTGTAAAATACGCTGTGATTCAAAAATGCCCGGTACTATCAGGTATTTTGTGGTACGGAATTACGCACTATGGGGTGCGGATCCTGATTAAACGTAAAATCAAGCGTAGGGCAGTGTTCACCCCAACAAAATACCCTTGAGTTGCAAAATACTTTGAGGCGCATTGACAAGATTAGGCTTTCACTTTACATCTTTGAAAGCTAAGTAATCAATTTATCATTAAACAAACGAACAAATGTCTTTCTTCAATGCAAAGAACAATTAGTGTTTTCATTCCAATTCAAAATCCAGATGAGAAAGAGTCTTAGCCCTAAGGGTAATGAGATTCGGCATAGCAATGAAAATTGTCCCTTAGCAGGCATACCGAAACACAATGTTTTATGATAAATTATTTTTACATTCTGATAATCAGACTTCCAACAATAAGGTGATAAAAACTACGACAAAGACCCTAACCCAAATTAACTGATTAGCCAAAAATTTTAAAAATTATATGAGGTGTATTCGTCCTATTTTGCGTAAAGTGATGATGAACGAGTGGCTGAATTTTTGTACAATGATAAGAGTAGGCCTTACATTTCCATTAAATTTCATATAGCCTTACTTACCAAAAGGTATTTTCACCAAAGGTGGACTGGAGTGAGGCTTCGACACCGTCTGGATCTGATCAGCATCCCCAGCGAGACTCGAACCTTAGTAGTGCAACGAATAGTCTCCACAAGTTAGCCATTCGGCCACATTGCCACGAGTGCATTGGCCCACAGGGCAGATATGAATTTCAAGCAAGGCCAGGCCTTTTTCCATATCAAAGTCTGTGGGGGGATTGACGAAGCTGTAGTTGCTGAAGTAATCAGATACATTACTTATTTTTCGTTTATAAGTAGGCTTCGAAACCACTAGTAGACGCTAACTTGTAGGCACTACCAGCTGTACTATGCAGGTTCGAGCCACACTGAGGGTAATGACCAGACCCAAGCGGTGTCGAAACTTCACCCTAATCCACCTTAGAAGAGAATACCTTTTGGGAAGTAATGCTATACGAAATTAAATAATAATTGTGGGAAAATTCAACCGCCAGTCTTTCATCACCTTAAACGAAATAGAGTTACTACAGCTCTTATATCTACTGCTAGCCTCGAAAACCAACTAATAAACAAAAAATGTTAAATTACGTCCTTAAAGTTAACTTCAATTCCGACCTTGGCACAAAAACTTACCACTTCAAATGGCGTTTGATAGGCAAAATAAAGAATTTGTTCTGGTAAATTTATTTGCACGTATAATGGAGGGCCCCATAAATAGCACATCAAAGGCACCCAAGAATGACAAAGAAGGCTGAGGGCAGGGTAGTCGGTATACTAAGCAAAAAGGTACTGGTGTAGGATTATGCACAATGAGGACAGTGCAAAATTATGGGAACCAAATGCGGCATAAGAAGTAAGGGCCAATTCATTGTATGGTGGGTATAAAAATAACGCATTAAAGGAGCTGACAGTCACCGTTCCAGTGTATGTGGTGTAAATACACTGGTGTCCGAGTGTAATAACAGGGAGGGGAAGAATAGGTGAGCAGTAGGAGCATAGAAATAGGAAGGGTGATAATAAACAAGCCAGTGATATTGTGAAAATACAAGAGGATAATGGTAAAAGAAAGAGTATTCCACAAGAAAAATAGAAACGTAAAAGCAAGTTGTAGTTAGAAAATGCTCGAGGGAACTTCACTGGGTTTAATGTTTATGATCAAGAGGCAAGAGATTCATAGGTCTGTTAGGGTGAGAGGTCGGAAGCGCCTCTCAAAGTTAGCTCTAAGCTGCCGTGTCTAGTCATTTTAGCCCGTACCCATTAACCCAATGGGCTAGCAGCCTTGTGAAGGTAAACGTATAAATGAATTGAAAAATAGAAAGCAACTTAAAGTATCCAAAGGAATTATTTAAGTCAGATTTCTTGAATTGAGATAATCGTGGCTGCATGTGCGTATATTAGCAGTCGAGTGTTCATACGCGTTAATACGTGTACATATGTGCGTGTGCAGTCTCCATTAGTAGCCCCGGCGGGAAAAGGGGATGAAATGCAGTGCAGATGCCCCAGATGGGATGATATTTATACAGAAAAGAAACCCATGTGAGCTTAGTACACGCCCCTAAACGCACACGTTAGCCGTATCGGAGTGGGCCACCATCGGGTAAGTACTTAAAGTGGACATATTTTGGATCCTATAGAAAAGGCTAGGCCTCATGAAAATCTTTCCATAACTAGAAGGCAAACAAAAATGATGCATCTCGGTACCAATTACAAATAAGGTCAGGCTACTAATAAAGCAGCACTAAAACAGCGGCAAAAACATTGATATCTACATACCTGTGCGAAAATAAATTCAAATACAAGATGCAAGGTGGAGAAGGGTGGAACGCGAGAGGAAAGTGTGGTCTGTGGGATTTAGGTAGCATTTGTTTTCAAAGTATATATTGATGTAATAGCTAAAATAGAAAGCTCGGGGCAGATGAGGAAATAGTTGGGCTGTCGACGCCTAGAATTAAGTGAAGAATTGCTTGACCTTGAGTGGAGGTAGGCATAGGAGGTGTAGTCACCGAAACTGACGAAGCGGAAACCTCAAATTGCGGGTAGGATAAGACGAGTGATCTTGTCCGTCTCGGCTGAGTTGTGCTGTGAAAACGGAGTTGAATGGATGACGTCAATGCTACCAGGTCCTGTGCTAGTGTGAAATAGAGGCCCGTTGATGCTTACGGTTGTAGAGGTGGGGCCTGAGGTGGCCGTGGCCGGTCCAGACGTCATCAGGCGAAGTCGGGCGAAATCTTCGAATATCAAGTCGTCCTCTTCACTCATAGTCGACGTACTGCCTGCCAAAGAGTAGCGCTGACGTGTGGTAGATGTCCTCCGAGACTGGATAGATCCAAGGGGATACAGTGGCAGGCCAGAGGTATGGGAAGCTGGAGAATGGTAGACTGTAGTTGCGGGAGCAACTGTGGCAGTTGAGGATGGCGATGGATTATCCGATGGCTGGTACAAATAGCCAGGCGGTCTGGAGTCCAGGGTAAATGGCATATTGGGGTTTTGGGGGATCGTTTGAGAGGGAGGAATAGCACCAGGAGATGAGGGAGAGATCCCGGTTGCCCGAGTGGGTAGTAGACTAGACGGCGGATAGGATGAGCTGGAAGGTTCCACAGTATCGGAGTGATACATCATGAGGGAAGAGAGCTGCAAACTGCCGTTAGAGAGGTGATTGAAAGTGGAGCTGGACTGGTGCTGAGGCGTGAGGAAAGGTGCCGAGCTACTTGGGTAAACGGAATGCAGGATACAGGCAAGTGAGTGAATTTAAGTAAAGGGATATAATGGAAGAGAAAGGTGAAGAGATTTAAGCCTAAGGTCTACTGAATGCGATTAGCTAAAGTGATTGGCATTTTTTATAAACAAACTTAAGGGCAAGTATTTACTAATTCCTGAAAGTAGCCAATTAGGTTTGAAATCAAAATGGATGCCATACTAGAACGTTGTAGAAACATGAGATGAGTTTTTATCCACCACGTAGGCAAATTAATATTTTTTATGTCTAATCCCCTAAAATGTGTCTGTAATTTTACGCAGCCCATTGCAGAGTCCGAATAGACTAGGCATCACTATAGGAGCTTTCGTTTAGGATGATAAAGGAATGGTGGGAAAATTCTCCCCACAATTATATCAATAGGCTTTACCTTACCAGTGACTTTCACATAGCCTTGCTTCCCAAAAGGTATTCTCATCCAGGCGCAAGTGGATTGCAGTTTCAACCTCACCCTGGTCTCCTCAGCATCCCCAACAGGACTCGAACCGTGACAGTGCAGCATGTAATCTAGACATGTTGACTACGTTAGCAATCTGTTCAAGTCCCACTGGGGGTGCTGATGAGGCAATTTAAGGATAGGCAGAAACTGCAGTCCATTTCAGCCTGGATGAGAATATCTTTTTGGAAGCAAGGCTATGTGAAAGTTAATGGAAACGTAGGGCCTACTTATGTCCATGTAGGAAAATACAATTAAACGTCCTTCGTCAGCTTAAACGAAATGGAATGAATACAACTCTTATGCCAGATCTAATAGTAGTCTTGAAAAGCCTACTTATGAAAAATAGTAGGTGTCACTAAACTGAGATGGATGAAGCCATTCAAAAAGAGTATTTTATTTTCGTATTTGAGTAGAGTTTTAAGGCTACCAGTAAATCAGTAATGATATGAGTAGAGCTGACGCTTACATAGAATTTCACATTGCTTCGCTTTCCCAAAAGTTGTTCTCATCCAGGCACCAGTGGACTGCAGTTTCGACCTCGCGTCGGTCTTATCAACACCCTCAGCGGGAGTCAAACCGTGACATTGCAGAATGTGAGCTTGACGCGTTAAACACTCGACCATATTGACACGAGTGCCCTTGGGTCACATAGCATAAGTGAATCTCAAGGAAGGTCAAACCTTTTGCCATATTATATTTTGTGGTGGGATTGTCGATGAAGCAAACGTATATTTGCTATAACAATCGACTACGTTACTTATTTTCGTATTTGAGTAGAGTTTCGAGACGTCAGCTCTACTCATATCTTTGTGGGAAAATTCTACTACCATTCCTTCATCACCTTAAACGAAATAGAGTGATTTACTGGTAGTCTCGAAACTCTACTCAAATACGAAAATAAGTTACCATAATTCCAAGCGCCGGACCGTGGACTTGGCCAGGACAGGAATGGTAACACAAAAGTTTCGGCAGACTTTACTTGTTTACTTGACGAGTTGTAGCTTTATGCTGAAAATGGCAAAACTCCCTGAGATGCCGATTACGCTGCTGGCGAAACGTCTGGGAATGTACCGAAGCTGGTAATTATGATAACTACTAGAGCAGAGGACTTCGGATAAGGTGCGTCCAATTAAGTCACCCTGACAGCACGAGTAAGTTGCCAAAACGAGGTCAGCCCACTTAGAAAGTTAGTCAATTTTTACCTTGATTAGGATTATATATTCCATTCCGTTGTTGATCGTCCAACCTTTTATCTTCTTCGCGATAAAAATTCTTAAGCGAAATAACAACTGCTTGAATGTATGTAAAGTGGAATAGAAGAATAAATGAGACGACTCGGCGTTTTAATGGAAGAAAGAATAGACAGAATGGCAAGAATTAGAAGGTAGTCCCGAAACCTGCCTAAAAAGAAAAACAAGAGGGTTATAGATTTCGGCCATATTACGTCAAAGTGTGCTAGTAGGCTAAGTCAGAGGAAATAAAAAACCACCATAACCAAAATGAAGAGTGAAAAACCTCGTGAGCAGGGGCAAAAGCACTGACAAGGGACTGATGAGGCAAGGTATAGCGCAAATTAGATCCTAAAAGAAAGTGACAAAAATGAGAATATATGCGAACAGGCAGCTATACAACTCGAATTGAATGCATAAATGTCTTTAACGGCTTTGCTTATCTTACCGAGTTCCAGCAAGTGATGAAAAGTGCTTTTCTAATATTGCGGAGAAAAATCCTTAGAACGTTAGCTTTCGAGGATAAGCTGTAGCATAACCTACAGAGAATGGGCTGACGACTTGCTGACTCAACTGGCACAACGGATTTTTCTGTCTAAGGCTACCCTACGTAATGCTGAAAAGGTTGTAGTGACCCATCCCAATTTTTCTTGCCACACTGATTAATTTCCTGACGATATACCTCATATAGTCCACAAAACTTGCGCTCTTCACGCATACTATTTATAAGCATCCCTCATTCTGACACATACAACACGACTTAGAACAAACCGCAGTCTCACTAGTCTCATCTGAACTTACCAGTGGACCTGCCAGTGACCTCTTGCACAGAGCTAGCTCAAAATGCCCAGCACCAATTAATAGAGGACAAACATCAAGCGCAACTAATGAAAGTGACTTTCTCCAAGCAACAGCCCGCTTGTGATGAGGAATTTAGTGATCACATGCTTTCAAGTGTATATCACTTTGATCTATACAAATTACATTTTCCGGCCAGTTCAAGCACCAGTGCATGGTGGTAGATAGAAAAACGGAAGCAAAATGGACCACAAGACTGTTATTCACTTGCCTTTTGCAGAATAAACAGATAGGTTGAGTGAGGGTAACATTTGCGTGTTGTCAAGACTAGACAGAAATCGTAGCGCCAGATATTTGAGAAAAAGATGGAAAATATTTTCAATAAATTATAAACATAAGTGAATGACGAGAGGAGATGAAGTTGTTTGTTATACATAAAAGACAAAATAACGGTACGGTTTGATCAAGGAAGAAGAGTAGTCTCTATACGACAAAGAAATAATTTTCAAAGTAAAAACCTCCGTACAACCTTGTTACCTTCAAACTAATCGTGGATAGTGCAAGATATGAAGACCAAAATGGTGTGGCCCTCGGTATCGCCGCAGTCTCCTTTCAATGTATAAAAGTGGGTTGACCTCGTTTTGGCAACTTGGTCTTGTTGTCAGGGCGACTTAGTTGGACGCAAATTGTCCAAAATCATAATTCCCAGCGTCAGACCGTGGATTTGGTGCATTTTCAGAAGTTTCGCCTGCATCATCAGGGAGTCTTGCTATTCTCAGCACCAAGCTACAACTCGTCAAAGTTACAAGTGAAGTAAATCCCTCGACCAAACAATCTACCGAAACGGTTGCGCTATTCTGTCACGGCCCAGCTATCTAATCCCTTCCTATCTCACTCCCGCCGTATCACAACTTTTGACTTGTTTGCATTCCGCTCGTCAAAATGTGTGCCCTATTGTGGCAAATCTAATGTGGCCTCATCCCACCTGCTATTCACCTTTACTCCCTCTCTCTCGATCGGCACATCCAACTCGGGTCTCCTATCCAGATCTACCTCATGGTCTCGTAGATCCGTTTCTTATCTTTCTGGTTGACCGACTTCACTCGGCTCCTGTCCCAGTGTACGTTTTACTTCAGGCGCTATTTCTCAGGCCCTTAGAAGAACGTACACTGCTACCTGACCGAGCAGAGCGCTTCTAAAGACTTGAGAAAGAGCGCATGGAGTAAAACGTATGCTGATGCTGGAACCGAGTGAAATCGGTCAAGCATAAAGATAAGAAATGGATCCACATGACCAATTACTTATCCTATACGCTCGTATCACTCCTTCGCTATCACAATGTCATGCTTATTTAAACCCAGTTCTAATGTACCGTTGTGAGCGGATTTGCTGAGACCTATTCACACCCACTTATGGCTCGCTCATCCCACTTATACTGTGCTGGGAGTGTTGATGCCAGTCTGGCCTTTCAGCCTTATAGTGCTTCTCTATTTCCCCCGTAGGATCAGGGCAGTAGCGGAAACCAGGTCAAACCACTTCTATATGGCAAAAGGAGATTGCGAAAATACTTAAGGTGACACTGTCTTGATCTTCACACCTTCCATTAAACTATGCATCGATTAAAGCCGGACGCAAAAGGCAATTCTACGTCAATCATGCCAGTTGACCTTTTTGCAATGTTGCGAACGTTATGATATCGCTCATGGGTTCTGTGACTGGATATGGAAGTTCTATTCGGTCAAAGTAAATGAAATGCAGGAATTAGAGAAAACCTACGAGAGTGCGAGGTGTAAACTATTTAAGTGAATTTGACCTAGTTTTGCAACTTGGTATTGTTGTAATTGCGACTTAGTTGGACGCACTTTGTCCGAAGTGATCTGCTCTGGTAGGTAATACAATTCTCTGCGTCGGTCCGTGAACTTAGTACATTCCTAGACGTTTCGCCGGCATCGTCGGTGAGTCTTGCCATGCTCAGCATTAAACTACAATGCCTAAGAGACAAGTGAGTTCAATCGCTTGACTTACTTTCTGCCGAACGGTTGTGATAGGAACACAGCTACCTATTCTCTACACTCGCAGCTCACTCCCCTCCTATCACAACTACTGACTTTTTTAAATGTAACTGCTCCAGAAAGTGCCGGACTTGCTGATCCAGCTTGCACCTTGTATCCAAGACGCCCGTTACGCTGTATTCAAGGCGCTATTTCTCATGGTCTGCCACAATCTTTTGGTGGCACGTATATTGTCTTTTACTGGCCATCTTTGTGATTTAATCCGTGTACACTGAGCAAATTATGAAAGTCTATCTCTGGTTGCCGGCTGCACCTCGACTGGATTTCTAGTCAATTTGGCCATAATGCCGAAGTTCTGAGACAGTTGAGAGGGTAGAAAAATT